GCAGGAGATCTCTGGCCCAAATAGAGCAGCATAAGCCAACAGTAAATCAGAGCTTTAGCAAACAGTTATATCAAAGAAAGCAACCTGTGGTTGTGCACTGAACAAACCACTGATGTAATCACGATTCAGGGTCAGGTAAACTCCAAAATAAAGAACAATTAATCACAGAAAAAGAATGTGAGCATGATGGAGGCAAACACTGTTATGTGCCTCTACCTGCCCGAGATCATCTTGTTCTACTTAATAGCAAACAGTCAGAAAAGCTGGAAATTCCTCCTTAAATTAACAAAGCCATTACACAGCGGTGCAATAACATGGAGTACAGTCTATACAACTGAAAAACTGAATTGTGCAACAAGCTTACTCTGTAGCATAGCTGTTTTCTAGTTGCTCTATTTGACACAAAGGCCGGTATTATCTACAGTAATATGTAAGGAAAACCATCAATATTCAGCCCTGTTTGGACATTTGGAAAGGCACTGGATCTATATGACTGATAGCTTGTATATCAGAGATTCAAACTGCCAAGTTACTGTGAACCCTTTGTTTCAAACATGAGAACAAACCACCCGTCAGTGAACAGTGACAAACACTTCCTAATAAATGGAAGGCAAAGCAACACTTTACACATGCTGCTAAACAAAACGCTGCTTCTCTGAGAGGAGACTCAGTCAACAATATACGGAGCATTTCAGTGGGTGGAAAATGAGCCGTTAACCGAGGATAAAAGGCACACACACAGATGCTACAACACAGAAATATATTTTGTGTAAAACAGTGTGAAAATGAAATCAGAAGGATATTTGTAGTAAAGAATGAAACTGTGTGGGTGTAGGTGACACTATGTTTACTGCTTCTCCAGTGGACCTTACCTTGAAGTTGCTGGAGTTGACCCAGGAGCTGGCGATGCCATCGACCATCTTGTCCAGTGCTGTCTGATCCTGCTCCAGGTCGTGGGACTTCTCCTTGTCCAAAATGTAATCAATGATCTCTTGTCCCACCTGCAGTCGCCGGCCCACATCCTTCTGCAGGACCTGGGCCAGGCAGTTCTCCATACTGGGCTCCATCATCCTGGCCTCCAATAAACACCCCCTGTGCCTTCCTCAGTGTGCCTGGCTAAGTGACTGACTGACTGGCTGGGTACTAGCAATCCTCCACTGCTCAAAGCAGTGGGAATGACAGCTAAATCAAAGGAGATGCTCTTGGTGGGTATGTGGCTGGTTGACCTGGAAAACGGAGTAAAAAGAAAGGGGCAAGTGTACACAGTCTGATTGTATTTTTATCCCTGAAGACAGGCCTTTGTTTTGTGCCAAATGCTAGCTTGCTAGCAAGCTAGTGGCCGTGCCCTAAGGATGGACGGAGCAGGGCTTGGGGAATGGCAGCAATGCAGCATGCATGTGTCTGGACAGCAGCTGGGGAAAGTTTACTACTCCCTCCCACTTGGGGTGTTTTTGCCCCTTTTCTACTCTTAGAGGAGCCGAGCCAAACCGTGTAGTGGTAGAAGAGGTGGTTTTGGTGAGCAGGCAATACAGCAGATGGAGATGGACGGACAGGGCTACGTCTTATCCCGGGATCTGGCCTGGATAGCCCTAGAGGAAAAGAAGGAATGACAGAGTGAATTAATTAGCACATCTTTTTAAGTTGAAACAGATTAACTACCGGCCCTGCAATGGACTGGCGACCTGTCCAGGGTGTACCCCGCCTTTCACCAGATGCCGGCTAGGATTGGCTCCAGCCCCCCCACAACCCCATTTGGAACTAAGCAGTACAGAAAATGAGATGAGATGAGATTAATTTCCTGGTATAAAAAAAAATCTCTAATTCGTCATTCTAAATATCAGACATTTAGGCTATTAGTAAAAGGACAATGGTTTATGTGGTAAAAAGGCTAACCTACTGATATACACTATAGGGCCAAACAATTAGAGACACCTCTGTTTACAAAGGAAATTCTAATGCTACACTAATGCTGACAAATCAAACAAATATTTTTATCATACGTCTGCCAATTATTTTAGATGCTAATCATTTGGTCTAAAAGAAATGGAAGAACACTGAAAAATGTGCACAGCAATGTTGTCACATGCCTACTTTTATTCAAACAACATTTCAAAAACCAAAGATGTTCAGTTAACTATGAGACAAAAACAATGAAAAGCAGCGTTTCTTCATATATGATGAGCTTGTGCCAGAGGAACATCACAAGGCTAATATCCAACTATTTCTGATGATTTTGAAAAGGCGTCAATAATTCTGTACGGTCCATTTTTGGAGTTCTGTGTGGAATGGAACAATTTGGCTTTTTTGTGCTGTTCCAATGCAAACAAAACACACAAACATGAGAATACCAAAGACTTTGTGCCTGCAACAATTCTCAGGGAGAAGTGGTGTGTTATCAGACAGAACTGCAGGGTGCCAATATTTTTGGCCATGACTGTATCGACCCAGTTCACTTCTCCCTATTAGTGCAATGACATTGTTAAATAAATAATATGTGTACTTTGTATTTTAACTAATGCTCTATGATAACACTACCTGGATTTATGTATTTTTTAGTTTCTATAACAGGGACAATCCACATAAACACTGTTACCCAGGTGAAGCATCACATAAAATGTGTGAAGGACATTTAGCTAATTTGCAGCTCCTCTTACCGAGTGTCTAAACAAATAAGTGAACAACACAATAATTCAGGATAAAAACAAACAGAACCAATAAAACGCTCTGTGTGCATGTATGGAACATATCTATGTGTAGATGTACTGTTCCTGTGTATGGACTGACATTTGTGTATGAGAGTGTGTGCATAAGTGTTAAGTAAATGTTAAAAAGCTGCAATATTTTGCCACACAAACGCACACGCACAGAGAGAGAAAGAGAGAGAGAGAGAGAGCATTAGCTCCAGCTAGCTTAGAGCCTGACCATCACTGCTAACAATGCCAACAGTGCCTTGACAGCCTCCAGCTTGACGGCAGACGTAAAACAAAAGCCCCCTCCCTCCCTCCCTCCCTCCCTGTGTTTTACTCCCGTGGCCATAAATCACCCGGTTCTTTCTTCTTCTCTCTGAAACAGCTGGCTAACCTTTCCACTGTGTCAGACCAGACAAAGTAGATGAGATGGGAATAAAAGCTAAAGCTAGCCCCTAGCGAAGCCGTTCCTTTCAATGAACGTAGGTTCCCAGCCAGGCACAAGAGCAGCACAAAACGAAGAAAATGTGACAACAAGGTGTGTCAACATTGTTCCAGTTTCTACTTACCATATCCTGATGAAACGCCGAAGCTGCTCCAGACATACAGCCCGTGTTTTTTGTTGTAAATATAGTGTACGGCCTCAGCGCTCCTCTGTCTTTCTCTCTCCACCCGGAATGCTGCCCGCAGGACAAGAATGGGATCGTCGTGCGCATGCGCAGTCGGTCCAGGGATGATGTTGGCACTTGGAAAACTGGCGCATGGCAGGGCAAAAAAAACAAACCCCGTCGGTTGGTTTCATGGATGTGTACAAGTCGACGTGCAGCGACATCTACTGGATACACCGAGTCTGCCTTTCAGGTGCTGTGCAAAGGTAGTTCCAATTCAACGAGCATACAGCAGTGACGGTTCTACTCACTGTACAAAAACACGTATATATGGGGTTCACTGCCAACTCAAGATAAAATCATAGTTCATACAATGCTGTCGACATGGAAGAGATCACCCAAAAACACTGACATAGCTCAGTTTAAATTATGTACAACTGTTTTATTTGACAATACCATATTGTTCTACAGTCTCCACTTTGTACAAGGGCCTGGGGGTCAAACACAATTTGATTCACACCCTTCACAATCTGTGGCGGTAGATGGGTCACGACTATTACTTGTTAACAGTAAGGATTAATTATGAGCAAATATATTTCAAACTGCAGTGTCTTCCATTTGGTTGTAGGAACATGCTACATTTCATACAGTTATTACAGCTTCGAGTCTATTCAGCATTGAAGGCAATTAAATACAAGCACAATGTTCCATGGCACTTTCTCACCAGCAGGTTTTACTTGATAGAAAAAGCATAAGTGTAATTAATCATGATTTAAGTGAGCTGAGAGATAAGGGTCCACACCAGGCTTTAACTAAAGGACCTAAATAGAATTGAGCCATCTTTCATTTTAGTAGTTCCACTACTACTACTGCACTTCTCCTGACCTGGTGGAAAAGACCTGTTGCACTGGCAGTAAGAGTGTTTTTCTTGCTCATTGTTCTGCAGAACAACATATTAAACATATCAGAGTAACTGCTCCAGACTATATTCTCATTTATTTTTACATGTAATAGTTCACCTAGTAAAGATTTATCCACATTTTAGACAGGTGATGTTAAAAAGCAACTACAGCAGTGTATGGCAGAGTAAAGACCCTGCTGCAAGACCGACACAGAAAGTCGCCTTTGTTGAAGAAGTCCAAGCTGTTGCCCATAAATCAGGATCAGTGAGCACCAACCACTCACTCTAACATCCAGTTACAGTAGAATCTCTCATAAGAACAGTTCAAAGTTGTCCCATCTCTCTCAAAGCAAACCTACGACCACGCGATCCTGGTGGACCGTATCTCTGCCCTAACACAGTCCTATGAAGCTGACCACTTTCACTCCGCCTCTGCCTCCTCTTCAGAGGGTTCCTCGCTCTCTCCGTCATCCTCATCACCATCTTCCTCCTCCACTGAGGAGGAGCACTCTTCATCTTTCTCTGCAGATGGCATCTTAATAATAATCTCATCATCTTCATCATCATCAACGGCCATGGTCTTCCTCCTCTCCAGGAAAGAAGGGGTGCACACTGGTGTGGTGTCCTGAAGTGGAACAGAAAAGCTCATTAGTCTCACGTGGTCATTCTGGTACAGAGGGGCTAATGAGGATTTCTTTGAGCAAAAGAAGTCAATCATCATGTTGGTACATGGGTTTTATCACGCAGCCACCAAGAGACACACGCAGTAAGCTTTATGCACCAGACCACTATAGGCACAGTTATCTGACCCCAGATCACTGATACACCTGGGCTCATTTTCAGTCTGTGCCCAAGCTAAACATAACACAGTGTGTTGTCCTTACATCGCTACATGTGGACGCATTCATGGCAACAGAGGACTTTTTCACCTGGGCAGCCTGGAGAAGCAAGACATGCACAAGTTAACATGATGCAAACAAAAACAAGTAAACAAATACCACTAGTAGTAGCAGTAGTAGTTTCTAGATTGTGATGAGAGGTATGTGCAGTCCAGACTACAAGTATTTGCACATTGTCATTTCTTAAAAAGGAGGATTTATCACAGGGTTGATGTATTGGATTACCTTGTACAGGTGTTACTTTGTTTCCTGATATTTGCCTCTATACTATTACTACTACTAATAATAATAATAAGAAAGCACATCAGTACAGTACTCAAGTTTTTATGTTCCACTAAAACATGTAGCTGTGATACAGTTGAGACTGTAAAAACATTTGGACATGTTTTATTCTTCAGGGTCTGGGCTTCAGTACATCCCATTTCAAATAAAATAATGAACAACTACACTGTCAAGTCTCAGCTTCATGTTGAGTAACATCAACAGAGGAAAGAGCTGTGTGGGAGATTGAATCTTTTTAACACAGTGGCCACATTGTAAGGGTTCAAAACTAACTGGACCCTTGCCTACATAATGTTCCTTGGTCAGCTGTGTCATGCCAGTACTTGTTCATGCACATAAGAGCTTGACACATGACTGAGAGCTGACAGAGTTTAGGGTTGTGTCAATACACAACATACCTTTATTCTACCTCTGTGCTATAAATGTAGCACGGCACTACAAACTACAAACACTTACAAATCCAGGGAAGTCATATTCGATGCCATGTGCAGCTAGCTTCTTGCGAAGCTTTGATTCTTTCCGCAGGAGTTTGGCTTTCGTCTTCTCAACCTGGTCGGCTGAGCGTTTTCTGTTGTAGCGAGCTACAACAGGGTTAGTGGGTTTTCTAAATTCCCTCTGGGAGCCAACAAACAACTTCTCATGCACTTTCTCTGGTGGAACCACATGACCTGAGAAACAGCACAACAAAATAAGTTCAGTTGTTACATCATCATCATCATCATCAAATATATTCCAAATATATCGACTGCTGTCATTAAAAAAAAAAGCATGAACACCATGATTTAAAAAAAAAAATAATTATGAAAACATGACATCCTCCCACAAGTACAAACTAATTCTGTGGGAAGCACCGCACTTCTGTTTTTGTGTCATGGAACTGACAGATCTAATGTGTTGTTTTCTTCTGTGTTAACCCGTGTGTGCCAAGCGACCTCACCATGACTTCTGTCGGAGAAAACGGAATCATGTTGGGAACTAACCCACTTCTGCATGAACAATACTCACATTTGATGAGTCTCTCTCCCATGAGGTAGTTGTTCATGGTTTCTGCAACAATCCTGGCTACTTCATCACAGTCAAACTCTACAAATGCATAGCCTTTGCTTCCACCTGTCTGTAAGTAAAAGGATGTGACAAGTTTGAAGCGGAAAAAGGTAAATATCACGTGTCTGTGATTTCAAAATACACACATGCATTTGACTTTTATGATCATCTGATTTCCGTTTAACGTCATCATTTTGTTGGCACATGGGTTTTATCACTCTGCAACTAGGTAAGAAGGTGATAAGCTAAACGTACCACAGTACTTTAGGCTCAGTTATCTGACCACAGGTCACCATTAAACCTGAGATCATTTTCAGTCTGAGCCAAAACTTTAAATACTGAGCAGTGAAAAATCAGCAGCATGAATACTACCTGTCCAGTCGAAATGATAGGACCACAGAAAATCTAAATCTTTGCTCTTGCTTTATTTGCCAGGGGCAGGACACGTGATGAAAACCAAAGAGGCTGGCTGACTGGCTGGCTGACTGGCTGGTTGGCTGGTTGGCTCAAATGATCTTATTAACTAAACATTTTAATCTCTACAATGTTCTTTCATGGAAGCAATCTGAATTAGCCCAGGTCTTCCACTGTCAGATATGTCAACCATGTTTGTGTACTGTGCTATTCCATCCTCTGGGTTACCTTTTTACTCCTGGACAACCGCAGCCTCAGGACCTTTCCGAACTGTTCGAAGTAGGACTGGAGCTGAGGCTCAAACAGCCCCCGTGGCAGGTGCCCGACATAAACCACTCCGGGGGTCAAACGGTTCTTCTGAGGAAAGAAATACAATAAGCCAGAAGGCAAAGTTGCACAGATGACAAATGTGCATTTTATATAATACAAAATCACGTTGAGAAACGCATTTGCTTCATTGCACCTTATTAACTTGGCTGCTGACAGGTACAGGTGAACTTATTGATGAACTGGCTGTTCTGTTACAACTGGAGTAAAAAATATAACTGGTGTTACACTGGAATAGTGAAACAGCTTGTGTTTTAGTGAGGTTTGGCCCAAAATAAAGGTTTTTAAGAGAACGTGGTTAACATACACACAACAATAGTCCTACATTGTTATGATGCTAAATGAACCTGTCACTGATTTAGTGTTGATCCATTAATAGTTCTGCTGTTATTATTCAATACCGGCTGCTACATTTATTTTTGTGTTACGTATCTTTGCTGGCAGAGTATCACAACTCTGATTCATACTAAAACGACGCTGAACGACTCTGAAGCCGACGCTGCCCGACAGGTACCGTTAGGCCCAGTGTTGACCCTCGGCCAGGCTGGAAGCTGCCACCAGGCTTAGCTCGTATCATTGTATGTGAACCTCTCGAGCCACCGTTTTAATTAACGGCTATACTGGACTCTACTAACGTTACAAGGGGTATCCTTTTGGCATATACATACATGCTTTCTGCTTTATTTTCGGTCATTTTGTTCAATTAATTACACGAGCCATGAGTCGTAAGCTCAAACCAACATACATATATATAAATAAACAGTGGCCAATGTTGAGTCCCGTTAAAATAGAAATTCTAACTCAGAGAACGTGGTAACACCTGTTACCTCTGTGAATAAACAGAAAAGATATTGGAGATAAATTAGTCGTTATTTCTCTGAGGGCCCTGACCCACCTTGCCCGATTTGTTCTTCTTCGCCTCCTGAACCTTCTTCTTGAAGTCAGACTCTTGTTCAGGATTCAACGCCAGCAGTTCCTTCGCCGGCTCAGTTGCCATTTCTGCTTTAGTTTCAGTCATTTTGTTCAATTAATTACACGAGCCATGAGTTATAAGCTCGAACCAACGTCACACTGCCCAGAAACCACGTTGGTATCTTCTTCCGGTTGTCCATGTGGTGACAAGCAAAGGATCGCAGAGGGAAGGTTAGCCTGAGTGTTAGCTACAGCCGTGCGCCCTGCACAGCGCCACCTGCAGGCCCGGAGGGTTACGTCGCTGACCTCCATCAATCGATGCAACTAGTGTAATGTACCGAAAGCACCCCCCTCTCGAATTTGCTGATATTTGCTGATATTCATTCCTCCCACATGTTTGGTGATTACTACATCTACACAAGCATTAACACAATGCTCACATCATGCAATATACAATATAATGTATATTGCTTTTGAATGTCTTTTCTTTAACTTCTTCTTTTAGTCCTTTCATTTTCTTTTTATCATAACTGTAAATTATATGAACAAGCTCATAACTTATGATAATAATAATACAATTAGGAAAAAACTGAGTGTTAATTAGAATGAATTATTTCTACTGTTGTTTGGAAACATGCTGCAATACACAGGATGGGAAGGGGGAGCAGAAGAGGAGATGGAGAGAATAATAATAAGGAGGTGGAGTATTTACCAGTCAAATAATTAGGTGAGACAGACAGTAGATACAGATCAGCAGTGCACACAGCAACATCACTGATTCTAAGTGTATGACATGGAAACAAAAATTATCTACTTCACAATGAATGGGAGACCGGAGCAGGCTGAGTTTCCACTGGATTGCCCTGCCCAGGACGTCAAAGGTAGGATACATCACTACCTAAAGTTTTTTATATGTTGGCCATCTGCCAGACCTCCCCCATGCTACGTAGCCATTTTAGCCAATACATTAATTAAAAGAAAGTAAATAATAATGTGAACATCTGCTCTGTTATTATAATGATTTCATGAAGAGAGGGTTCATTTCAGTATCATTACCAGAGAACAATTCACTGCAAATATTCTAAAAGCATTTTTGCAAACAAGAAAACACATGTGATCAATGCATGGATCAAATTCATGCATCAGTCATTACACAAGCAGGTGAAAGAACTGTGTGTGTGTGTTGAAGGTTGTCTGAGCTGCAGACAGCTGTACAGCTGCCCTGACAGCTTCTCACCAGCTACATTGGGCTGAAGCTTTGTCTAGCGCTGGTTTGAGATGTTTGTTTATGTCTGCCTGTGAGGTGAGAAGGCAAAAGAAGGCACTGCTCCATAAGTACTGTGTTATTATGTATTCCTTATATCAGTGACAAGCCATTAAGCCTTTATTCTGAGTGAGTTTGAGGTTGCCACTGGTATTCAAATTCACATTCAGTACCTCTAATTAGTACAATACGTAAGTAAATACTTAGTTACATTCCACCACTGGTTGCCAGGTTGTGAAACCCCCTTTTGCCCAGTGTTTCTATTTTTAATAATGCAGTTGCATATAATGATGATAATCCAATAATAAATGGTCAGTGGGTTATAGAAAAATATGAGGTTTAGTCCAGTTTGTGTGCAGCCATTTCCCAGGAACTCAGTGATCGTACAGTTTGTCAAAGGGATTCTTCACAAGCTAGCAAGTGAAAAGTCATTCTTATTAAAGGTTTAATTACAGTAACAATGGCATAATGGTGGAAATTATCTGTCAGTAAATTATTCTGAATAAATAAATAAAGCTAGTTACAACTTCAAACTGTTTATTTAAAAAATAACCTAAAAGTGGTGCCTAAAGTACCACTAGCTTACCAACTGTTAGTGCTTTCAACTTCTTCTGCACACGGTTAGGTTTGCTCTACCACAAAAAAAAGTTTAATCATTTCTCAGGACAAAGTGTGAAATAAACGCAGGGCCATTCTTTCCAGATCTGTTCCGCTCTGCAGCCGAGGCAGGACCCCACGACATCCTGAAGCTGTACAACCCCAAAGGCAACATCATCAACATCTCTCCAAATCTGGAGCCCAACAGCCCACAGTCCCGCTACAAGCTGGAGGTGGTGGCTGCCGACTGCAACAGTGAGCCGTTAGGTTATCCTTAACCTAGCCTTAACCAACATTGCAGTGCTTGAGTTTAGTTTAAAACTGTTGAGTCTCCATCTTTTTTGTCATTCCAGGTGCAGAACTTGCTGGTGCACTAGGATTTGACCTGTCATCCATGGAGAAAAGGTAAGTGGGAAATCTTGAGACTTTGTACAACACAATCCAAAGTTTTACATGAATCTCTGCTGATTTACAACCTCACTGATGGTGTGTGAGCTCAGACTGCAGGACCTGGAGAAGAAAATCCTAATCGAGGCTGGAGAGACTCCTGCAGTTGTGTATGAGATGAAGAAACAGGTGGATTCATTCCGGGAGAAATTAGAGGTTCAGCCAGAGTTTTAAAGCTGTTCATGAAATGTGAGGAACGATGTGTTTTTCTAACCTCCAGGCATAACTAACAGGTTCTATTCCCATTCTTTTCCAGAGTGTGGAGCATCTGAGCTGGCTTGGATTGTTTAAAGACCTGTCAGAGGGAACACACAAGCCCTCCCCATTTTACCACAAGAGAACCCTGCGCAAAACCAGGGAGGAGTGTGAGCATGTACAGGAAAAGTTCCTTCAAATGAGGCAGGTTCACACACAAAACTCACTAAAAGTAAATAATGTCTAGATATTATAAGCTGGAATATCTAGTTATCATGAATGTTTGTATGCTGTCACCTTCTCAGCTCTCTGGAGGTATCAGAAGAAGTGAGGCAGTACTTAAAGACCCCAAACTTTGACAACTGGTAGGTTTCAGTTTGAACAGCAGGAGTCTGACAGTGGAGATGGACAGGTATGTGTGATCACAAACAATCAGTGCACCTGTTTCCTCGGTGTACAGACAGTGAAGCAGATAGGTCAGCTAATGACAGCCGTGCCCAGTAACCACCTCTGATGCGTTTCTGAAGAGGACTGGAGCCCTGGCCCTTTTCTTCTGATCGACCCCCTCATCTCAATATGAATAGGCTCAGAGAGCGCTCACAAATCAAAAGATGGTCTTTATAAAAGGCTTAATCAACACATCATGTTTGAAGTGAGTTTCTGTGGGAAGAGGTTCATTTTGCATTCACTGAGGCTTGGTCATCATTTCATTTGTCCAGAAGCTTTTAAAGCAAACTCATGATGATGGAGGTGGATGGATATGAGGTGATGCACAGGCTACAAAACAAAAGCCAAAGCTTGGGATGTCACATAATCATTTACAAATGACAGGATTCCTTTGAAACCCAAATAAAATATAGCTAGCATTAATATACCTGTTTGTTATTGCCAGCAAGACCCCAAATCAAATGAAGACTAAAACCAACGTGTCGGTCTGTTTCCCAACATGTTCTGACTTCCCTAATCTGTCTGGGGCATTCAGCTACAAGTACACCTGTAGGGACCTAAATGACAAAGTCACCTACTCTTCCCACTTAAAAGTACCTTCCCATGGTGTTGTGTATTACATGTGTGTGTGTGTGTGTGTGTGTGTTCAGGCAGTGGGAGGATGCAGAGATCATGGTGCTCCTACAGGTCATGTATACAGATTTAGATTTCATAGCAACCTTCACCATTGAGTCTGACATACTACAACGGTTCCTGTTCGAAGTCTACCGACGATATAACAACATCCCATTCCACAACTTCAAACACTGCTTCTGTGTTACTCAGATGGTAAGTGTGTGTGTGTGTGTGTGTGTGTGTGTCATCAGACCATCCTGATTCTTAGTTCAAAGTATCAGCTCACTGTTTTGGTTTTACAGCCCACACCTTTCCTGTGTTGGTGCCCTCTCACTTCATTTGTCATGTTGTAGCCGCCTGCTCAGCACCAAACAGCAGACAGACAAAGTTAGCAACTCACTGGTGAACACAAGTTGAGCAGTTAGCAGCTAAAGAGCTAGACATTTCCTTGTAGAGCTGGTGGACACACACTCTTATTAAAAGACTGGATGGTACCCTCTTCTTTCCAGACTGTGTGCAGCAGAACATCTACAGCTTCCATTGTACTTCCCTGTTTCTTGGAACAGATGTACGGTTTGATTTGGCTGACCGACCTGAGGCGTAAGATGGACGGTATCGACCTGCTGATCATGCTGACCTCTGCAGTCTGCCATGACCTCGACCACACAGGGTACAACAATGCATATCAGGTATATGAAATTCTCTCTTTGTGCCTCCACAGACTGTGCTGCTTGATTTAAACAGCAAAAAGTGAGAATCGATGCATTAGACCCAACCTAGGCCAAAACTGAGACAGCTCTGATGTTCACAGGTTCTTTATATCCCTGTTCATGCAGTTTGCCTTAGCTGGAAATCGCAGGTGTGATCACTTTATGATCAATGATCACAGGTAAACTGGCCGTTGTTGCAGTGAGGTTCTACTCTGAGGCCCCTATTTTCAATGACTTTTTTCCATTCTTTTGTTTTTAAGCCACATAAAATTAAATGCTGGTCTACACTGTACAGAAATGTACAACTAACACAAGCACATGATGTACCTTACCAGTCTGTTTCACCTACTGCTGTCTATTCCTACGTTTAACACCTTACTCTTATTTATCTCATATGGATTTAAAAACATTGATTTCTCAAGTTATATACATATACATTTGAACTTTAATAGTTTTTCAGTTTGGGACAACAACACTAACACCACTGCATATTGAACTGCTTCAGCATCATCTGTATTTAATGGTAATCAGAAGCTTTATAATCTTTGACCAATGTTCAGATAAATGCTCGGACTGAACTTGCTCTTCGCTACAATGACATCTCTCCGCTGGAGAACCATCACTGTGCTGTAGCGTTTGAGATACTGGAGAAGGTGAGGACAACAACAAACTGCTCCACACTTTCTGTCCCAGCAGCCATGAACTTACATTTTAGTGTTAAGATGGAGCCTGTCAGCCAAAATAACAACAGGACATTTTGTTTTGTAGACAGAGAGCAACATCTTCAGAAATCTGCCCATGGATCAATACAAACGGATCAGAGAGGGAATAATCAAGTGAGATTGTTTTTCTAATAATCGTACCGTAGTGTGTTTAGTCCCAGTGCCACCACCTAACACACTGTGGGGTTTATTGTGTCGTAACTGCAGATGCATTCTGGCCACTGACATGACGAGGCACAATGAGATTCTCAACAAGTTCAAGTCCATCCTTCCTGCCTTTGACTTTGCCAATAAGGACCACAAAGATGTGGTAAGAGGAGCACAGACATAAACACAGCAGAATGTGACACTGGCAATGCATTAAGAAATGTATTCAGCTTCCTGCTTGGCAGATATTATTTTTATATTGAATTCATCTCAGAGAAACATGAAGAAATGACATTATTGTAACAGGAAGCAACTTTAATTTTTTTCTTCTTCTTCTTCTTCTTCTTCGTATTATTATTATTATTATTAGTAGTAGTAGCTGTTGTATCCTATACGTAAAGTACATTTTTAGAGTAATGTCAAGAATACAGTTCATGTATAAAATATTGTTTCTTGTTATTTGTATCTTTGTAACAAAAACAAAAACATTTTTCTCCAAAAGCTGTATCTTTTTATAAGTGACACAAGACTGAAAACTTGGGTTAGACCCCTGCTTTTCAAAGTGTGGGGCTCGCCCCACTAGTGGGGAATAAAGACATGACAGGTGGGGCGCAATGAATGAAGAAAATTAGAAATGGGTCATTAATACAAGTAAATTAAAATAAATTAAAATAACATCAGTTCGGGGCCCGGGAGAAAAAAGTGGAACCATAGTGCAACAATAACTGTTTAACATCGGCATGTTAACATGCAACAATATAAGGAAACGCTCACACAGAGCGCCAATAGTGTACGTAGTGGGTATAATAACGTAAATGGATAAATGTGATACATGGACCACAAAAAAAGGCGATTCAGCGCAAGCAGACAAAGAAACAACAGGCAGTAGCCTTATCAACCAAAAAGCCCACAATGAAGCCCATCTTGAATTCATGGTGGAAATGGTGGGGGCTGAGGAGGGACCCATGTGTGTCTTGTGTCTTAAGCTGCTGGCAGCAGACAGCATGAGACCCAACAAATTAAGACATTTAGAGAGACAACACACCCCAGTCAGGTTAAGAAGCCACTCGACTTCTTTCAAAGAAAACTGGCAGAAAACCATCAGCATGAAAATCGCATGGTAAAATCTGCATCAGTGAACAGCAAAGGACAAATGGCTTCATTCAAAGTTGGATACAGAATTGTCCAGTGAAAAACAACCACACAATTGCTGAGCAGCTCATTCTTCCTGCTGCTGTAGACATGGTGTTGATTATGCTGGATGAAACAAGTGCTGCAAAATTAAAAATGATCCCCCTCACCCCAATCATTATGAAGTGCTTTGAGAGAGTGGTGCTGGCCCGCATTCAGAGCAGTATACTGGACACCCTGGACCCCCTG